GAGCTTGTGAAGCATCGTCTTGGCAGTGATACCCAGTCGGGGTGTCAGGAGTCTGTCACACTCTCAAATGAATGCATTCACCTATGGAGTACTGTGATCTATTGACCTTATTAGCCAGAAGACCAGCACCATCTTTGTTCAGTTTTCATCCACAGTATATGTCTGTTCGTCTCAGACAAAACACCCAGCAGCCTCACACCTTGTGATTATCCAAAAAGTTAAATTTATGGTCTGTGATCCCTGGTTATGGGAAGACTGGTCCACCTGTCCACATTAGAATGATGACTTAATATCAAATTGTATCTTTCAGTCTGGACACAATCACTTTACTGGAGCTCAAGGGTTTCTTCCTAATTGAAAAAAAAAAAAAAAAAGTCCAAGTTCCCTATTTTGTGTTGGACAGATGGTTAACCATGATTTACTATGAAACTGTTCTCTTCTCTTGCAAATAACCTTTTAGATCAGCGGTTCTCAACCTGGGGGTCGCGACCCCTTTGGGGTCGAACGACCATTTCCCAGGGGTCGCCTAAGACCATCGGAAAACACATATTTCCGATGGTCTTAGGAACCGAGACACCGCTGCAGTCTCCGGCGATGTGTGGGCGGGATGATACGCTGCTGTCACCCAGCCACACCTCCAAGATCGCTCAGCAGCTCCGCCTCCTCGCCGCTGATTGGCCACCGGAACTGTAGCTCAGGAGAGGGCACACAGGCGGCCAATCACCGGCGAGGAGGTGGAGCTTGGAGAGGAGGAACCAAGCGGCAGCGCGCGTACATCAAAGAAGACCGAGGGAGCGAGTGAAGAGGAGAGCGGCCAGAGAAGGAAGACAGCTGACAGGTAAGTGAGAGAGCGAGCCCAGGCTGGAGCAGGGGTCAGCAAGGTAAGTATCATTGGTGTCAGTGGGAGGAATAGTGCCCCATCATTTGTGTCACTAATACCAACGATGGGGCACTATTCTCCCCCCCACTGACACCAACGATGGGGCACTACTCCTCCCCCCACTGACACCAACGATGGGGCACTACTCCTCCCCCCACTGACACCAACGATGGGGCACTACTCCTCCCCCCACTGACACCAACGATGGGGCACTACTCCTCCCCCCACTGACACCAACGATGGGGCACTACTCCTCCCCCCACTGACACCAATGATGGGGCACTACTCCTCCCCCCACTGACACCAACGATGGGGCACTACTCCTCCCCCCACTGACACCAACGATGGGGCACTACTCCTCCCCCCACTGACACCAACGATGGGGCACTATTCCTCCCCCCACTGACACCAACGATGGGGCACTATTCCTCCCCCCACTGACACCAACGATGGGGCACTATTCTCCCCCCACTGACACCAACGATGGGGCACTATTCCTCCCCCCACTGACACCAACGATGGGGCACTATTCCTCCCCCCACTGACACCAACGATGGGCACTATTCTTCCCCCCACTGACACCAACGATGGGGCACTATTCTTCCCCCCACTGACACCAACGATGGGGCACTATTCCTCCCCCCACTGACACCAACGATGGGGCACTATTCCTCCCCCCACTGACACCAACGATGGGGCACTATTCTTCCCCCCACTGACACCAACGATGGGGCACTATTCTTCCCCCCACTGACACCAACGATGGGGCACTATTCTTCCCCCCACTGACACCAACGATGGGGCACTATTCTTCCCCCCACTGACACCAACGATGGGGCACTATTTCCCCCCCCCCCCTGACCCCAATGATGGGGCACTATTCTCCCCTCCACCACACTGACATCAATGATGGGGCACTATTCCTCCCCCCACTGACACCAACGATGGGACACTATTTCCCCCCCCCCTGACCCCAATGATGGGGCACTATTCTCCCCTCCACCACACACTGACACCAACGATGGGGCACTATTCCTCCCACTGACACCAACGATGGGGCACTATTCCTCCCACTGACACCAACGATGGGGCACTATTCCTCCCACTGACACCAACGATGGGGCACTATTCCTCCCACTGACACCAACGATGGGGCACTATTCCTCCCACTGACACCAACGATGGGGCACTATTCCTCCCACTGACACCAACGATGGGGCACTATTCCTCCCACTGACACCAGCGATGGGCACTATTCCTCCCACTGACACCAGCGATGGGGCACTATTCCTCCCACTGATACCAACGATGGGGCACTATTCATCCCACTGACATCAGTGATGGGGCACTATTCCCCCACTGATACCAACGATGGGGCACTATTCATCCCACTGACATCAGTGATGGGGCACTACTCCTTCCACTGATACCAACGATGGGGCACTATTCATCCCACTGACATCAGTGATGGGGCACTATTCATCCCACTGATACCAACGATGGGGCACTATTCATCCCACTGACATCAGTGATGGGGCACTACTCCTTCCACTGACACCAATGACATGGCACTACTCCTCCCACTGCAAAATTACAGTTATGAAGTAGCAATGAAAATAATTTTATGGTTGGGGGGTCACCACAACATGAGGAACTGTATTAAGGGGTCGCGGCATTAGAAAGGTTGAGAACCACTGTTTTAGATTATCTTGCTTTAAAGTTATGAACAAAAGACATCTATCTTAACAATATCTTTTAATACAACAGGTATCTCCAGGATTCCAGACCCCTGGAGCCAAACCTGCAGCCCAGTGGTATGATGTGCAGCCCTCAGCAGTGGGAACATTGACTGGAGTAATAAGATTGCTCTCTACTATCTTCATGTAACTTGTTTCTCAGTTTCATACTGTCTTGTACAACATAGCCCAGCCAAAAATAGATACCTTTTCTTGAACAGAGAAAGTTACAAAGTGTTGTATACTTTGACAAAGTTTAAATAGTATTAAAGGAAAAAAAAAAAGAAGAAAAAGAAAAAATTTCATTACAGCCAAAGTCTGTTGCTGTTTTCTAGAATCCATATGCAAGCAGGTGAAGCAATAAATAAATAAAAAAAGAACACATTTTATTTTGTATACAAAAATATATTATATTGGAAAAGAAAAAAATTACATTTGTTTCAACTATAACATTACAAATTTCCATAAAAGCATTATAAATTACAATTAAGCAACATTATGTAAAAAATACAGTCAACTGTATCTTAAAAGTATTAAACAAATATATATCTCTTTCTAATACATGCAGCAGGTGGAGGCAAAGATCAAACAGAACAGTATGTAGGTGCGATCTTGCGGAAATGCCTGCATTATGTAACTCTACATCATGATGATTTACAGCCTTCTGTGTTCTTGCACTAATCCCAGGACCAGCTTATACAGTGCTTTACATGCCTAATAGAGAAGACATACAGAGGTTAGCCATGTATAAATCATAACCCAATATGCTACACAAAATACAGTGTAGAATATGCTACATAGAATATTATGGTGAACTCAAAAAAAGGTGCTTCTCAGTAAGTATCATTTGAGAGATGAAAGGTGCAAGGTACAGTAAATACTTTTGGGGAAAAAAAAAAAAAAAAAAAAAAAAAAAAAAAAAAAGTAAAACAAGTGGATGATTTGTGTTTTGAGATGGACACAACTAGGTTATACAATTCAGGCAAGGTATATCTACATCTTTATGCAAACAGTACATCCTTTTAATAGGAAGTTCTACAAGCAAATGAGAGCTTGACATTGCCAACTTGGTTTTGTAAGGGCAAGTTCCAAGGCATTCAGCCTCATTCTGACTTTGCCGTCTAGAACAAGATGCCTCAACCTCCAACTGGCTGCATACATGTTCTAGGGCTGTGACTTACCGAGAAATGAATTCAGGATGTTAGTCACAGAACATGCACCTTCAAATACAAGTCAACAACAGCTTACATATTTTCACATTAAAAGGTTTCCTTTAGTATGTTGGAGATACATACACAGCTTCTAAACCCTGCATGTTCTCTGCTCATGAAATATCAACTTAGACCTCCCGTTCTCAACCAGGGTTCCGTGGAACCCTAGGGTTCCTCCAGAGGTTGGTAGGGGTTCCTTAAGCGATGAGCAACTTCTGCCTCTTAGATGAGTAGGCAGCAACAATAATCTTTTTTGATTTCTGTAAGGGGGAAGGGGGAATTCTTCCCAATGATCACATCTGTAAGGAATATTCTTCCCAATGACCTTCACACTAATGTACTGTAAGCTGTAGATATACAATTGTCAGGGGTTCCCTAAACTCAAAAAGTTGTTTCAAGTGTTACAAATGTTGAGACAGGCTGTCTTAGAGACTCTTCCAACCACCCATGCACTGTGCATAGTACACCAAAAGAGTATAAAACTTCCCTGTTATTGCTGTCCACCACTCCACTGTGTAGGTTCCCCTAAATCCCCATCAGATAACCCTTCTGCAATATCCATAGTGCAGCAAGTATTTGGGACATATAGGTATTTAAAATGCTAAGTAATCAGAAAATGCACCCCTGTCTAGCTTAGACATTCACCCTGATGTAGACAGCTGGGCTGCAATACGACAGGGAACATAAAGTGACAACTGCACAAGGAAGCAGACATTAGAATGCACTCTAGCTAGTCAGCTACGGCACTATAAATTAATTGGACCTGTGACAACTTAAATGAAATTAGATGGGGTATTTAAATTTTGATTGCTCATCACATGCAGTATAAGAGCCTTTCTATCTAGACAGGATCCCCTCATTTCACACAGTAAATCAGGTTCATGTCCAAAGGCTCAGTGCATAGGTAAAGTCCCCAAGTTATTATGCAGTATAAGTCACTGAATGGATGTTTCCATAGGATCATTGTCATACATGTGGTTTCCTCCATGACAAAAAATTGCTTTTGACAATTTAATGCAGCCTAGAAACACTGGCTTATGCTTTGCCTCTCCTAGGATGCATACCCATTTGTATGGCTACAGAGTATGAACCCCAAGTACACAACATGGAGTCTTATCTAAACTAGTGCATGCATAAAGCTCAACAAGGAGCTGGGAAAGTAACAGGAAACCGTTATGTACAAATATACTCACTTGCTAGTGTCCTGTCAAGATCAGCAATAAAATCTTCCAACTCTTTTGTATCTCCGAGTTTAGCTGTACAAAAATAAATAAATAAATGAATACTAAATTACACTTTATCACCACTTATAATAGTTCCTGTTAACACAAGATTTAAGCAGGGCTGGGGGGGGGGGGGGGGGGGGGGGGAACACAAATTGCAAAGGTTTTCAATGTAATCATGCGATATTTCCAGTAATGGGTAGAACACTGTCCTATCAGTGCAAGCACTCAGGGTCCCCATGGATTAGGATGGCTGAATTTTTCAGTAGATTCTCTGGTCAGCTCAACTTCCTAGCACTCCCATTTACTGCCCAACGTCACCAAATGAAAACAGGTTCATCTCAGGTAAAACCATACCACCTAAAGTCATTTTAGTTTCAATCACACTTTTGTCCAACCAATTTACATTATAGGTTGAATATTTTTATTTTATCCACTGTATAAAAACCTGTAAAGACAAAGTATAGTAAAAATATGTGTAGGCCCATTACTACAGTGGATATAAAAAGTCTACACAGCCCTGTTAAAATGTCAGGTTTCTGTGATAAAAAAAAAAAAAAAAAAAACACAACACAATGATAATTTCAGAACTTTTTCCACCTTTACTGTAACCTATAAACTGTGCAACTCAGTTGACCAACAAACTGAAATCTTTTAGGTGGAGGGAAGTAAAAATAAAAAAACTAAAATAATATGGTTGCATAAGTGTGCACACCCTTACACTAATACTTTGTTGAAGCACCTTTTGATTTTATTAAAGCACTCAGTCTTTGGGTATGAGTCTCAGTATGGCACACATTTTCAATTGCATTCACGTCTGGGTTCTGGTTGGGCCATTCCAAAACTTTCATCTTCTTCTGGTGAAGTCATTCCTTTGTTGATTTGGATGTATGCTTTGGGTCGTTGTCATGCTGAAAGATGAAGTTCCTCTTCATGTTCAGCTTTCTAGCAGAAGTCTGAAGGTTTTGTGCCAATATGGACTGGTATGTGGAACTGTTCATAGTTCCCTCTACCTTGACTAAGGCCCCAGTTCCAGCTGAAGAAAAACAGCCCCAAAGCATGATGCTGCCACTACCATGCTTCACTGTGGGTATGGTGTTCTTTTAGTGATGTGTAGTGTTTTTGCACCAAGCATATATCTTTTGGAATTATGGCCAAAAGGTTCAACCTTGGTTTCATCAGAACATAACACATTTTCCCACATGCTTTTGGGAGACTTCAGATGTGTTGCTATAAAATTTAGCCGGGCTTGGATGTTTTTCTTCATAAGAAAAAGGATTCCGTCTTGCCACTCTACCCCATAGCCCAGACATATGAAGAATACGGGAGATTGTTGTCACATGTACCACACAGCCAGTACTTGCCAGATATTCCTGCAGCTACTTCTAGACCAGTTTTCTTCAATTTTGGAGGAACCTCCAGTTCTTGGCAATGTCACTGTTCTGCCATATTTTCTCCACTTGATGACCGTCTTCACTGTGTTCCATGGTATATCGAATGCCTTGGAAATTCTTTTGTACCCTTCTCCTAACTGATACCTTTTAACAATGAGATCCCTCTGATGCTTTGGAAGCTCTCTACAGATCATGGGTTCTGCTGTAGGATGCAACTAAGCAAATGCAGGAAAGACCTACTAGAACAGCTGAACTTTATTTGGGGTTAATCAGAGGCACTTTAAATGATGGCAGGTGAGTACTGACTCCTATTTAACATGATTTTGAATGTGATTGCTTAATTCTGAACACAGATACATCCTGTTATAAGAGGGTGTGCACACTTATGCAACTACATTATTTTAGTTTTGTATGTTTACTTCCCCCCCTAAAAGATTTCAGTTTGTTTTTCAATTGAGTTGTACAGTTTATAGGTCACATTAAAGGTGGAAAAAGTTCTGAAATGATATATCTTTGTCTCATTTTTTTACATCACAGAAACCTGACATTTTAACAGGGGTATGTAGCCTTTATATCCACTGTATGCCTTGTTCTAAAATACCAGTTAGCTGACAGTTTTATTGATCCAAAGGCTTCCCGAGTCAGACATAGAACAAGTATGCAGATCAGGGACCATTACTTTACTGGTTACACACACTTGTTCTTAAGAATCTACAAAGTATTAAGAAATATGTAGACCCAGCATTTCATATTCCTGATATTTGCCTGCTGTACCATGTACTTGTATGAAAGAGTATCCTGTTTCTCTTTGCATTGCCTCCTTTGTGTAAAAACCCATGGTGTTCTTGTCAGTTCCTCTGCTTTCTTGTTAAAAAGCTGACCACACTAAGCAAGAGAACACACTGGTCAATTCTCTAGCCAAGTTGGGAACTCAGTCTGCTCTGCTCCAATGGTCAGACTTAACGACACACACCCCCTCTGCACAGACATTCACTGGGAAGATCAGTGTAATGCAGTTTTTCTCCTCCCCCAGCTCTTATACAGCTATAAACAGAGCGTATGTGATCACTTATGGAAAAAATGAGGGGGGAGGGATATTTATAATGTAGTTTTATATCTTTACACCAATGTTTTGCCTTTAATTTCTATTTTAAACTGGGTTGTTTAAGGTGAGGGTTTACAATCACTTTGAAGCCAGAGACTGCCAGATATATCTGGCATTTTAGAAGAGATCAGATATGACAGCCTACATATTTTTTCTACAATTTGTACAGTGGAAATAGTCTAGAATTTATTTTTGGGAAAGGATGATTGGGCACAACCATATCTACTAGTTACATAGGCAAGTTTCACTTGCCACTGTAGTAGTATTAATCAGCGGCTGTGCCCTGCTTATCCTCTTAGCTCAGTGAACTGTGGGCTTTATAAAATCTCAAATGACCTGAAACCTCAGACCATGTAGCATTAGACAATGCACAAAAAAAAAAAATTATGCACATTTTCTATGATATGCCGATCTGAAAGGAAACTCCAGCCAATTTTTTTTCCTATCTATGTTAAGGATAGGGTGTGAAGGATTAGAATTTGTCAGGTTGTCAGTGTGCTCTCTGCCCATATAAAAAAGGGAGATTTCCCCCCATGCCCTACACAGACAGCTATAGAAACCTGTAATTGCTATATAATATAGGAGCTTCAGGTGTCTCAAAGAGGACCCCCAAAAGCTCCTACATTGTAGGATTTATAGCAGTTGCTAGTTTTGGTGAATTCCCCCCCCCCCCCCCCCCCCCCCCCCGTTAGGGTTATTTTTGTTACCTTTGGTTTATCAGATCTAGAAACCTGACAGTTTCCAACCCTTCCCCACTACCTTATTTTGGCTTTGGATGGGTTCTAATGCAATTGCTGGTACGTTAGACCATACTGTACCTTTTCGTGGTGTTTCTGTTGGAGAGGACAGTGATGAAGAAGACAGAGTCGGTGAATTTAGTTTTTCATCGCTGAAGCTAAAACTGTTTCTACAAAGTGAGTCTGCACCTGAAAAACAAAATAGAAGGCTACAGTAATTCTATATATAAGAGGTAGAGAATGCAACTCATACTGACCACTTTTACACCCCGGTCACATTGGGGGTGATTTGGCATGCGCTTTGCATGCCATGCGACTTGCAAATCTTATGCCAAGTCGCACCCTATTGTCCGCTATTAGAGTAGTCATATCGGTGTGGTTCCGACTTGGTCAGAGACGCACCAATTTCTAATGTAGTGCATGCACTACTTTTGTTGCGATTTGCATAGACATCTGTGTCAGATGTCTATGCACCAGATTTTTAAATCGCGCAGCTTCACTGTAAGTCACACGATTTCAAAATTGGCTTTGATGTGATCAGGGGCTTAAAAACCGAGATTGAGATAGCCACTATAGTATGTGGTGGCTTCTATCTTCTGACTCCAGTGGAAACTGGATACAAGCAAATCCTGTTCATCTAAGTAGCAGTCTACTGCATCAGAGTTTTCTATGCAGCAATTTCCCATTTAACACTTTGTTTAATGAAAACAGATATGATCTGGTGTATATACAGTAGATAAGTACACCATATGTAGGTGTATAGCCCCCCCAAAATACATTCAGCCCTCCAAATAAATGAAAAGCAGAATTTAAAAAGGTTATTCAGCTAGAATAGAGGTTAGAGGATTGCATCACCGTAGTGTTTGTACACGTGTATTGACTTTTCAGTCTCTGCCCTTGTTTCTCCAGTATATCTGCACGAATGCAGATGGATGGCTCTGATCAAAAACAAAATTTAAAAAAAAAAAAAATTGCTACTATAATCAGTTAGCGTAAATCAGATCAGAGCCAAGGCCCTACCCTCAATTTTCACAGTAATTTTTGTGAACATTGAAATTGGAAATCTACACCAGTACATTCTCTAAAATTCAACTTGTATTTATACCACTTTTGTATTGCAGAAGCATCAGGCAGTGGCCAGAACCTATGATGACATCAGTAAATGTAAGATGGTCACATGACATCTAAACTTAAATTCAAGTATATATATATAGACTGTTCACATGCAAGGGAAGCTGCACATTGCAATGGAATTAACCCCCAGAACTTAATAAATAAATCATGTGAATGGGTATTTGCAAAGTAACATTTCACCTTATTCACCAAACTCTGGGGATAGTTTTCTTGCAAAGTGAGAAGTCTATTTGCCTTTGGTAAATCAAGCCCGATGCATGTATGTACACTGCTCAAAACAATTAAAGGAACACTTTGAAAACAAATCAGATCTCAATGGGGAAAAATCATGCTGGATTATCTATACTGATATGGACTGGGTAATGTGTTAGGAACGCAAGGATGCCCCATCGTTTGATGGAAATGAAAATGATCAACCTATAGAGGACTGAATGCAAAGACATCCCGAAAATCATAGAAAAAAAAAAAAAAACAAAAAAACGGCTAGTTCATTTTGCTGAAATTTAATTGCAGCAACTCAAAATGGTACTCCATAGTTTGTATGGTCCCCTTGTACTTGTACGCATGCCTGACAATGTTGGGGCATGCTCCTAATGAGATGAGTGGTATCCTGGGGAATTTCCTCCCAGATCTGGACCACGTCATCACTGAGCTCCTGGAAAGTCTGAGCTGCAACCTGGAGGTGGTGGATGGACTGAAACATGACATCCCAGAAGTGTTCCATGGGATTTAGGCCAGGCAAGTGAGGGGGGGGGGCATTCAATGGTATCAATTCCTTCATCCTCCAGGAACTGCCTGCATACTCTTGCCACATGAGGCCAGGTATTGCCGTGCAACAGGAGGAACCCAGGACCCACTGCACCGGCATAGTGTGCCATTAGGTATTGTGATGAAATCCTTGTACCCATTGTCAGAGTGCTATTGCCTAGCCTGTAGAGGTCTCTCCATCTTTCCATGGATATGCCTCGCCAGACCATCACTGACCCCACCACCAAAAACTGTCATGCTGAACAATGTTACAGGCAGCATAATGTTCTCCGTGGCTTCTCCAGACCCTTTTATGTCTGTCGCATGTGCTCAGGGTGAGCCCGTTCTCATCTGTGAAAAGCACAGGGTGCCAGTGGCAGACCTGCCAATTCTGGTGTTCAATGGCAAATACCAATTGAGCTCTATGATCCTCAGGCCACCCCCATGAAGTCCGTTTTTGATTGATCAGAGGCATTCACACCAGTGGCTTGCTGTAGGTCATTTTGTAAGGCTCTGGCAGTGTTCATCCTGTTCCTCCTTGCACAAAGGAACAGATACTGCTCCTGCTGATGGGTTAAGGACCTTCTACAGGCCTGTCCAGCTCTCCTTGAGTAACTGTGTCCTGGAATCTCCTCCATGCTCTTGAGACTGTGCTGGGAGACACAGCAAACCTTATGGAAATGGCACGTATTGATGTGCCATCGTGGAGGAGTTGGACTGCCTGTGCAACCTCTGCAGGATCGAGATATGGCCTCATACTATCAAAAACAGTCAGAAAAGAGGAGTAGTGGAAAAAAAATGTCAGTGGCCTCCACCTGTAAAACTATTCCTGTTTTGGGGGGTCATCTCATTGTCGTCCATCTAGTGTACCTGTGGTTAATTTCCAACACCAAACACCAAAGCAGCTGAAACTGATTAACAACCCCCTCTGCTGCTTTACTGACCAGATCAATATCCCACAATTTAAATTGACTTTATGCTATACTCTGATTAAAAAGTGTTCCTTTAATTTTTTTGAGCAATGTATAATCTGCATCAAGGATTTAGAGCTCCACTGCACATTTTGTGTGGTTATATGCCTAGTTAGAAGTTGGCCTGGCAATCTGAAGCAGGAACAGCTAAATATAAGGAACCCACAGAGGCAAAATTATAGTTACAAAGCTTTACCCAAACATTAAAATAAATATAATTACAACTGTAAAATATTTCCTGTGACTATAAAAAAGTGAACTTGTTATGGAAGAACAGTATTAGAATGGAAAGTTTTAGCAGTTACAGAATTCCATCAAAGCATAGAAGGGGCTTCGTGATTTAGTTTACCATTCTGTAAATAAAAGTTTTATGGTGGATATATGTAAGGGAGAAAAAAATTAAAAAGATTAAAGAAGTGGACAAAATGGGAAATAAAAACTGAAAAGGCTTTTGCTACTAGAAACCAATCACATTCCAGACATTTTCTAGTGCATGATAAAAAAAAAAAAAAGATAAAAATGGTATGCAAGTTCGTGTGGGTGAACACCTCCTTTCAGCTTTCACCCAGAGTACTCCATATTTTCAATTAATGCAATCAGCAGTACTTTGTATATTGGGGCACTGGCTGGGAGATCCAGTGGCCTACATGTTGTAGAATTCATTACACTGAGTGCACTATTAATGTAAAAACAAAAACCCATGGGGCACCCTTTACTTCCATTCCTGGGTAATAAAATCAGGGGGGGGGGGGGGGGGGGGGGGGAAGAAGAAGATGCAAAACGAAATACAGGAATTCTAGAAACTCTACGATAAAAAGAGAAGAAGTACAAAACGGTTCTGTGGTCACCATCTATTTCTATAGTAACACATTCATGGAAGAAATACACAAGAAAACAGCATCAATAACCAACTTCTCTGATCTTAGTGTCACATAGAATACACTGTTCAGTAATATGTCCTTCCCATATGTACTGTAAAAAATGTAGACACTCTGGGGTTGATTTACTAAAACTGGAGAGTGTAAACTTTGGTGCAACTGTGCATGGTAGCCAATCAGCTTCTAACTTTAGCTTGTTCAATTAAGCTTGGACCAAAAAAAAAAAAAAAAAAAAAAAAAAAAAAAAAAAAAAAAAAAAAAAACAAAAAAACACTGGAAGCTGATTGCCTACCATGCACAGCTGCACCAGATTTTGCTCACTCCGGTTTTAGTAAATCATCCCCTGTGACTCCTGGTTGACAGAAGGTGCCCTAAGGCCCTGTTAACATATGTTCATGGTATATGTGCATTCCCTTATCTGTAATAAAATTGCTTTGACATTTCTGTGGTTCAGATTTGTTAAATATGAGCAAAAAACTGGATCATACATATACATCAATGGACCCAATGGGACAATTCATTAGTGCAGTCATACTACGGAATGTTTTCCGTGGTGAGAACTACCACTGACCTCGGTCTGTGGTTTACCTGTGGTGGTAGCAATTATTAAGCTGCAGGAAACCAGAAAAAAAACTACCTGACTAACTGACTAGGTGTGAATAGATATGACCATACTTAAAATGTACTGTACAAGAATAAGGTACAATTTTTCCCTTAGGTTACATGATTCTGTTATATCAGACAACTACTCTTAAGTACAACTGGATAGGCCAGAGTCAGTCCCTCGAAAGCAATATTTATTATAGATGGTGCCTGGTGGGCCAATTAGGTACTTGGCATTCAATATGTCTTAGATAGCCCAACAAGAGCAACTGACAATCTCCTGATATTCAAAGCTCTAACCCTGTCCACCTGGGACTTTCCACCTACCTTAGCGTGTTTCATCCTCACCCAATTTACTCTCCATAATGAGAATTACGTAAAGATAAATTCCATCTGATGGGGAATCATCGTGATGGCCACAGACCCAGATGGGTTGATGGGAAATAGGCTGCGCACTTTGCAAGGGAAGTTTCCCAAGAGTTTAGTTAATGTGGTGCAAATTTCACTTTGCATAGAACAGTCAATCACGTGCAAGGAAAATAAAATAAAAAAAAAAAAAAAAAAAAAAAAAATAATAATGATTGGATGAGGAGATCAGCAGAACTTCACTTTATTCACTAGGCTCTGGGGATCATTTCCTTGCAAAATAAACAGTCTATACAATTATGTGCATGCAGACATACCCTTTTCCCCCCCCCCCTTGCACACAAAATTGGGTAATCTTTGCAAAGTGAATTGTCACCTAAATGACTATGTTATAGGAAAATTCCCTTGCAAAGTGAACAGCCTACTTTTACTTTAGAAATTCAGCCCCACTATGCATTAGTCAGGTGGTTTCCAGCATCTATCTGTTTTGGGTAGACTGACCCATAACTTCAACAGTTTTGATGGAGACACAATATTCACAATTCCGAGTTACAACACTTACAAACTTAAACAATAGAGACTTGCAGAGAAGTACACACCCTTTACTGAGCGGACATATCATAATAGATGAAACAAATAAAACTATGAACAGTTCCTAAAAATTAGCAATTTCACAACACAAGTCCATACCCAGTGTTAGATTCTTAAAAAAAAAAAAAAAAAAAAAAAAAAAAAAAAAAAAAAAAGGGATGAAGCTGACTTTATAATACGCATCAAAATGAAATGTGGTGTTCTCTTAGCAACCAGAACTAAACTCTGCAACAACAATAGAAGCCACATTCTTCCTGTTTTTACAAACCATGCATCACAGACAAATGAATGTAATATGTAAAAAAAAACCCACGTTTCTGAACACCTGCAAAGTGTATTCATACAGGAGAGCCTCAGGGGTACAACCCATCTATTCATCATGCTCATTTCTGTCCCTGGGGATACTTCAAACCCAATGGTTCAGAATTCAGTAACTCATGCCCCAGACAGTGGAAGTGGCAAAAACCAAGGAAATCTTTACTGATTGCCCTGCAGGTACTAATGACAACATGAGCGAAAACAAAGAAAGCTGTATTGATGATCAAAGAGTACAGGACATCTTCCCGATTAACAGATGAGATAATACAGTGAAGGATGCTGATGCACAGGTATGACAATGGTCAAACAAGAACTGGCAGGATTTGGTTTTTAGCTAGTGGTAGGCACACATCACAGAGAAGATACTAATGAACTACATCACCAGAAACGTATTTTTGAAGTCTGTCTACAGGAAGATACAAAGTTAAATTCAGCCCACAATCAAGAGTTCAGCTTCACTTAGCGCACAGGGCAAGACAGGGTTTCCTTCTACTTCTTGGGCAACCAGCCAATAATTTAGAGACGTTTGAATGTTACAATTTGTCCCAACTCTCTGGGCAGTATGTCCCTTCAGCATTGGATATCCTCCAGTCATCAGTATTCAGGGCATGCATACCTACATATAAACAGCTTATGGAAGCTTAATGACATTGAACTATAAAAATAAAATCAAAGAAAATCTCTCATTTCAAATATGTAGGCATCCATTGCTGACTTTTTTTTTTTAAATGCTAGCTGCCTAGGTGCCACAATGGCCCTTTGGCCTTCAGCACTTTCTAAGACACGGACCCAAAATAAGAAATGCAGTCAATGAGATCACACACTTTTTTTTTTAATATGGTTGCTTAAGGTGGAACTTTATCCATAACATTGTGATAAAAAAATAAATTTCTTCAGAAAGGAACCTTAATTATGCTGCCAAAATTAGGGTGTGCTGTAAATTGCCTCCAGTACTGTTCCTGTTTCTTCTTGCCGGAGGCTGCCATTTTGCTGAAGCTCAGAGTCCCTGAGCAGAAATAAATCTTTAGGCTCTCAGCAGACTGGCTTCTACAAATTCAGCACAAAGCCTAAAAATAGAGAGCAACTGAGCATGTGCAGAACAGGACAGTGTATTAATGGATTTTAAACAGTATAGGCACTTATTTTATAATGTTTTACATAGCTATATCTGCAAAAGGGGTAAGCCTGAAGTGATCTCAGGAACACAGCCAACTTGCATTTTGGGAGGATAGCTATGGCACGAGAAGTGCTTTAAAACCAGTCTTCACAAATGTCCTCCACTACAAGACTTAAAAGGACTCCTATACATTACAGCTTTTAAATGCCCAGAACCACTGCAGCCTATAATACAATCCACCACAACTCATCTCACATAGCTCATCACATAAGCTGGGGTGATGACTGGGTGCAAACTCTAGCATTCCCCATCAACGAAGTGACAATTTTCCTGGAAGCGTGTACCCTCTGCATCATCTCAACAGGATTAGGACCTATTGGAGCTATTGCTTTTTGGGCTGGAGGAAAGGTATTTGTGAAATCTGACTCAGAATAAGTAATGCTTGAGGTTTTAAGTTGGCAATATACTATGCCAATTTTGTCCGGTTCCCGATGATCCAACCGAAATATGGTTGGCCCCATCAGTCCTGTCAACTGAAATACTGAAGGAGCCAGATGGAAAGTTTTATCCAAATGGTAGTTGCATCTACTCAAATCAGTCACTGAATGACTATTCTGACAGTAATCTGCTTCAGCTGTCAGAATACATTAGGCACAGCATACCATTTGTCCATTTGTACCCCATCCATTCCTAACCTTCAAAAGGTCTAGAATGGATTCAAATAGGTGAAAATAGAATTTATTTAATGGACAAGTTTAGGGTAGTTTGAAATGGGAAAACACAGGAACCAAATCCCGTTTCACATTCCATGTTGTTCCTATAATGTCACCTTAACAGTTTCTTACTTTCTGAGTCACTGATACCACTATCACTGATACTGGCACTGCTCCTCCTCTTCATGGTCTTCAGGTGTTCATCGTAACGGAAACGTCTCTTGTTAAACGGCGAGGAGAAATCTTCCAACACAGCATCAAATTCACACAGCACTTCATTCAAATCATCGTCATATTCAATAAAGGCAGCTGTAAAAATAAGAGAAAAGGTTCATACTAATCAGTGTTTTAGGACATTTGATATTTCTGCACCTTTTATAGCCCCCAGTGAATGGTACAGCCAACTAGCAACCCCCATAAACCTGTTGAAAGTTTTTTATATCTGATGCTGGGTTGGTTTTAGGTTACAGGACTAGTTTAAGTGTGGATGCCAACTAGCACAGTTATTCCATAAACCCAGAGTGATCTCATTTCATTACCATTAATAGCAACTACACAAAACATCACAATACAGAGGTAAAAGTATGAATGCAACAAAACTCCACTAAACAGCATGGTTGGGGCTACTACTATAATGTACCATCATACTACTGCTACTACTATCATGGCATTACACAAAAAAAAAAAAAAAAAAAAAAAAAAAAAAAAAGTGCCTATAGTGTAGTCAGGATGAATGACAGAATGCTGAGACAGCTGTAGTCCAATGCCCTCATACTCATTCAAAGATGACTGGATGTTGTTTGGCATGGCTCTACTTTGCCCTAGATACCGTGCTTTAAAAGATGAACCTGGAGGACTGAGGAGAAGAAGGAGTACTGTACAAGAGATATATATAGATAGAGACAGACAGACAGACAGACAGACAGACAGACAGACAGACAGACACACACGAAAAATTAGAATATCGTGCAAAAGTTCATTTATTTCAGTAATGAAACTAAAAAAGGTGAAACTAATATATGAGATAGACTCATTACATGCAAAGCAAGATAGTTCAAGCCGTGATTTGTCATAAGTGTGATGATTATGGCTTACAGCTCATGAAAACCCAAATCCACAATCTCAGAAAATTAGAATATTACATGCAATCAATAAAACAAGGATTGTACATAGAACAATATCGGACCTCTGAAAAGTATAAGCATGCATATGTACTCAGTACTTTGTTTGGGCCCCTTTTGCAGCAATTACTGCCTCAATGCAGCGGTGCATGGAAGCCATCAGGCTGTGGCACTGCTGAGGTGTTATGGAAGACCAGGATGCTTCAATAGTGGCCTTCAGCTCTTCTGCATTGTTCGGTCTCATGTCTCATCTTTCTCTTGGCAATGCCCCATAGATTCTCTATGGGGTTCAGGTCAGGCGAGTTTGCTGGCCAAACAAGCACTGTAATCCCAGTCATTGAACCAGGTTTTTGCTTTTGGCAGTGTGGGCAGGTGCCCCAAGTCCTGCTGGAAAATTAAGTCAGCATCCCCATAAAGCTTGTCTGCAGAAGGAAGCATGAAGTGCTGGTAGATGGCTTCGTTGACCCTGGACTTAATGAAGCACAGTGGACCAACACCAGCAGATGACAATGGCTCCCCAAATCAACAGACTGTGGAAACTTCACACTGGACCTTTGCAGTTGTCTCTCCATTTTTCCCATACTCTGGGTCCTTGGTTTCCAAATGAGATGTAAAAGTTGCTCTCATCAGAAAAGAGGACTTGGACCACTGAGCACCAGGTCTGATTTTCTTTAAGCCCAGGTAAGATGCTTCTGACGTTGTTTAGGAGCGGCTTGACAAGAGGAATACGACATTTGAAGCCCATGTCCAGGATCCGTCTGTGTGTGTGGGTGGCTCTTGATGCACTGACTCCATCCTTAGTCCACTCCTTGTGAAAGTCCAACACTTTTGAATGGCCTTTTCAGACAAATACCTCCAGGCTGAGGTCATCCCTGCTGCTTGTGCACCTTTTTCTCACCACGTTTCCCTTCCACATAACGTTCTATTAATGTGCTTTGATACAGCACTTTGGGAACATCCAACTTCTTTTGCAATTACCTTTTGAGGCTTTCCCTCCTTATGGAGGGTGTCCATGATGGTTTTCTGCACAACTGTCAGGTCAGCAGTCTTTCCCATGATTGTGATTCCTACTGAACCAGACTGAGAGACCATTTAAAGGCTCAGGAACCCTTTGCAGGTATTATGGCTTAATTAGCTGATTAGAGTGGGACACTTTGAGCCTAGAATATTGCACCTTTTCACAATATTCTCATTTTCTGAGATTGTGGATTTGGGGTTTTCATGAGCTGCAAGCCATAATCACAATTATGACAAATCACGACTTGAATTATCTTGCGCTGCATGTAATGAGTCTCATATATTAGTTTCACCTTTTAAGTTGCATTACTGAAATGCATTAACTTTTGCACAATATTCTAATTTTTTGAGTTTCACCTGTATATACACACAGTGGTATCATACGTCATTGTGCCAATGTCCTGTGAACATCAGGAGCTGTGCAACTGGTGCCATTCTGACCACGCATGTTACCACATCTGCTATTTCATCATGGACAGCAAGTTAGAACAAAGAGCAAATGTGACATTTTGTGTGAAACTGGGCAAATCTGCCAGAAACATTTTACATGATTCGTCAAGTTTATGGCGATGCTGCAATGAGTTGTTCAAGGTGTTTTGAGTGGCACATGCGTTACAAGAGTGGAAGAACATCGCTGGAAAAAGATCAAGAGGACCTTCAATGAGTCCAACCCCTGAAAATGCCCTCTTCCTGAAGATAAAGATCCAGCCAAAAGTCGCTCTTTGACAAATTGTAGAGATCCAACCAGTCTAGCCTTCGACTCTGGAAATAGTAGACGCAGAAAGCGTAGTCAGAATAGCACCAGTTGCACAGCTCCCAATGTACACAGGACAGAGTCTTCCTTGTTTGGCACACTGACTTAGGAGGGGAACACATTTATACACATGACACACACAACACACGCACACACACACACACACACACACACACACACACAACACACACACACACACACACACACACACACACACACACACACACACACACACACACACACACACACACACACACACACACACACACACACACACACACACACACACACACACACACACACACGAACACACACACACACACACACACACACACACACACACACACACACACACACACACACAAAATAGGTGAAATAAAGGAAAATCATTTATAGTGATATCACAAACAACACATGGCAAACAGATCTGTACGAAAAAAATAGGTGACTTAAGTGAGCATGAAACCACAAAATGAGTCATTGTCTATTACAGGACTTGGTAATCCCATAAAGATGTAGTCATGTCATTTTGAGAGAGTGATTGACTTTCAAGACTTTCCCCTGGCTGCCCCCTCTAGCAATCAGGCTGACACATTTCTAGACCTAGGTGGGCCGAGTCTGTAGGCAGCTGTATTGGCAGCACTGCAGAACTCTTCCACTGGGGATACTCTTCATAATAGAGCATTAGCAGGAGGCTGGGAACAAAGGGCACAGAAAGCCTCTTTGGCAAAACACAACTCCCCACTTTCTGAAAAGCCTTTGATTGAATAGAGATCGTCCAAAACACATTGAATAGCGACATCTGCTATGACAGAGGCCTGCAGAGCACTGCACAGGTTAAAGGCGTCACAATTCTTCAAAGCCAGTTTTATCATTACAGCAAAACTTCCCATCTCTGCCTATTGAAGAAACGTGCTTCAGGTTTAAAACACTGCGCAGACCACAGAGGAAGTCACAGTATAACAGCAACTTCAGTACATTTAAGGCAAGGCAGTGTATTGTAGTGAACACAAAACATTGTTTACATTCTTGCCTTTCCATGGTTTTGGTAAAGTATAACCAATGGAAAAAGTGGAGAGGGATTAGAACATCTGGAAGGTTCTTATTGTTGTCCATGTAATTGTTACAGAGATTCACTCTCTATTCATCATGGTGACATAACGAAGAGTGAAAGGGAAAGAAGAAGCGCCAACATGTTGAGTTTTCACCAGAACAGGAATAGAGGAGAAATCTAATGGGGACACTTGTTCTAGTGACCCTGGTGACTACCAGGGATTCCCCCACTTTTGAAGAATTTCCTCTGACTGCCTGTTGTGGCTATGGGACAAGAAGTGACAGGAAAAAAAAAAAAAAAAAAAAAAACTGACTTTTTTTTTACTCTATCCAAAATTTAAAAAAAAAAAAAAAAAAAGTTTGGTTACAGTTCTACTTTAACAAATGTAATGTAGATGAACCACCGTAATAACGTGTGTTTGACTTTTACTCATTTGGCACCCTTGCTTAAAATAAAATAAAAAACTAAACATAGTGCCACAGGCCAAAGAATAATTAATTATAACCTTTACTGCAGAGCTCTGGCAACCACAGATATCCAACACTTCTGGGTGTGTCAAAGTGTATGACCCCCCTCCAACACAATGATTCCATCTGCCAGAATATGTCACTCCGGGATACAGCAGTGATGTAGCAGGCCTGACTACAGCTCACAGCAAGGAACACACTATCTGACACACCCTGAAGTGTCAATCATGGCATTGAAAGACAGCAGGGACTGAAGTTGCTGCTCACTGGAAAGGCAAGTATTAATATTCTTCTGTTACAGGATGGCACTATTTTTTTTTGTTACGGTCACAGCCTTATATTGGTGATCAGTGGGTGCGAAAAAAACACCTCTCCTTCCCCCACACAGTGGTGGTTTGTTGGAAGAACACCTCCTCTGCCCCTGGTGGTCAGTGGGAAGAATACACCCCCTTACATTGGCAAGCACGGAGAACAACAACCCCCCTTACATTGGCAGTCATTGGAAATAACATCTCTGCCCCCTTACATTGGTAGTATGTGGGAAGAATGCTAGTCAATGGGAAGAACACGCCCCCCCCCCCCTTATGTTGGTGGTCAATGGGAAGAAAGCACCCCTTACAGTGGTGGTTAGTGGGAAGAACATCCCCCCCCCCCCATACTGGTGGTCAGTGAAGAGAAAATCCCACCAGTGGAAAACACCCCTTTACATTGGGGGTCAGTGGGAAAAACTTCCTCTTATGTTGGTGGGCATTGGGATAAATGCCCCTCTTACACTGGTGGTTAGTGAGAAGAACACCCTCCCCCCACATTGGTGGCCAGTGGAAAGAATGCCCAGCCTCCCCCCACCCCTGGTTAGTGGGAGAAATGCATTCCTTTCACTGGTGGTCACTGGGAAGAATGCTCCTACCCCCTGACACTGGTGGTCAGAATGCCACCCTTACATACAGCTACAATCACTACTGGTTCCACCATGTAACCTTGCCTCTGGAACTACGTAGGCTCCATCAGATGGGAGGACAATCAGCTAACTCTGGAGGAACCCTGGGAATGGCTGCTCTACAATCAAGACACTATACATATTAAATGTATTAAGGGATACCATACTTAAAGATTATACTTCATAAACCTATACTATACTTCTTAAATATTATTACATCATAAAAATTATACTATACTTAAAAGGATAATAGACCAAGTGATACTAGAATTCTTATATGATACTATACTTAGTAAAAAGATTAAATTATTCTATAATTGTTATATAATACTACACTAATTAAATGATAATAGATTAAACGATTCTATAATTCTTATATAATACTATACTAATTAAATGATAATAGATTACTTAAATGATACTATAATTCTTATATAATATTATAATAATTAAATGAAAATAGATTAATTAAATGAAAAAAAAAAAAAAACTTCTTATAGGATACTACTTATTATATGATAATAGACAAATTAAATATTATAATTCTTATACTATACTTAGTAAATGACAATAGATTAAGTAAATTATAGTATAACTCCTATATGATAATAGACCAATTAAATGATAATATATGAATTAAATAATAGATTAAATGATGCTATAATTCTTGTATGATACTTTACTTATTAAATTATAATAGACTAATTAAACTATTTCTTAAAAACGATGCTATATTTAGTAAATATTATAATTATTCAATTATACTATACAAACTGAATGACACTATACTTCTTAAGTTATTAGCTCTACTTATTAATTTACAGTATAATTAATAAAAGTAAAACCAATGGTATCAATGAGAAAGGTAGCCCAGCAGGCACCAAGAACATGCCCTGATCTAGAACCCTTTCTGTGAAGGTAAGTGATGGCCACCCTCCTACTCCCCCAGGTGACTGTAGGCAGACAATCCTGTCCCCATCCTCCCAGGCAGAGGTGACAAGTACGATGTATTGGTGGTGGGCTCCCAGCTTGGGGGATCCATAGAGCTCAGTATATGGGCTCTCTGTGTGAGGAGGTGACCAGGTGAGAAGCTCCTCTTACCTCTCCGGGATGACTTGACTTTGGGGGACTTCATAGCTCCAACAACAGCAGTGAAGGGGAAGGACAGGACCAGTCTCCGGGGATGAGTAGTGATGGGTCGGCCGCTCGTGTGTGTCTCTCCTCCTCTGTGTAGCACAGATCTGATGTACGCTCCCTCTGTGCACGGCTCCTTTTATGTGCGGGCTCTTTGGGCTGCGACGTCACCCTGTGGGCGGGGACACAGCGAAGTCCCATTCATCGCTCTCACGTTGGGCTCCATGCACTCTAGGCGAGCCGCTCTTATTTCACATCATCACTAGAGGGCGCCATTGAAATTGCCATTGTGAGCCCTCCTAGGTCCAGCAGATGACTAGCAATACAAAGGCGAGCAGTGTGTGTCCCTTGTTGGGAGAGGCCATACAAAGGCTCAATTATCTTTTGGAGACAATGATATTAGGGGACCATTCACACTGCAATGTGTGCATTGAGCGAAGGTAAATGTGCATGCGTTTGCAGGCTGCGCTGCATTTTAAAATGGGCTGAAATGCTTTTACCATTTTTATAAACTTCACCAACCTTAGTTGTAAAGAAAGCCTTAAATTACCATTTTGATTCTTGCGCTTAAGTGTGCCGCGGTGCCCTTACATATGCGTCTACATGCACTGCGTCACGTTGTGCTAGAAAAAAAAAGTAGCATGTTCTTCTACTGTTTTCATTACAGGGAGCGTACCTCAATGCTGTAAACGGCTCCTATTGAAATACATGACCGAAGCCTAGGTTCACACTACAGCAGTGTGGTACATCGCATGTGATTCGTACAGGAACCGCACTGCATTCCTGTGAAATCACATGCGATTTTGTATGTGGTGTGATTGGAGCCATACATTATATATGGCTGTATTCACACCGCACCCAAAAACATACAGGACCCTTTTTTGGTCCGCACTAGAATCGGATCTCATAGATATTCACACCCAAGTGATCCAATTCTGCACATCGCACTGCGTTTTGCAGACCGATGTCGGGGTGTTGGTAATATAACATACACACCCACATCGGTTTGTATGAACGGGGTGCGATTGTGATGCAGTGTGGAATTAGCACTGAAAACGCTGCGAATTCCGCACCGCGTCAGTGTGAACCATCTCTATTTGAAGCCATTTTAAAATCTGATTAAGATGATTGTAGTTGTATCAGTACACTTGCGACAACACATTTGAGTACCCTTTTCTTTTTAGGTAAATTTTTTGGGGTGTATCCAGGGGCAGACTGACAACTCATGGGGCCCCGGGGCAACAGGAGATCATGGGGGCCCCTGCGTCCTTGTCCACACTCAAAGCACACCCAAAAAGCCTATAAAAGGTATCAGGGGCATTTCATGGGGCCCCTTACTGACCCCGGGCCCTCGGGCAGTGCCCGAGTGCTCAAATGGTCAGTCCGCCCCTGGTTGTATCCTTTTCAGGTGAATGTTATGTTAATAGCACTTGCCCCCCAATAGGAAGTCATGGGAAGCGGTGCACAGGGAGACGAAGCATGTGCAGGGGCGGACTGACCATTCGGAAACTCAGTCACTGCCCGAGGGCCTGGGCTCAGGGGCTCCATGAGATGCCCCTGGTACCTTTTATAGGCTTTTTTGGGTGTGGTTTGAGTGTGGGCAAGCACATAGGGGCCCCATGATCCCCTATTGCCCGGGGGCCCCATGAGTTGTCAGTCCGCCCCTGAGCATGTGTTTATATAATGGCAAAATGTGCATTTTTTTACAAAGTGTTCATAAAGAAATCTTTTATTGTAGTGTACTAGGCAGATTAATACAGAAGAGCTGATATTAAAAATTACTTTAACCCTTTGGCTTCTGTGAATTGATTCCTTTTTGCTTTTTTTTCACATGGCTGGGTCATATTCTTCTTTTTACACCCACTGATTACATACACAGTTTGTTAAAGACCCTCAAACTATATATTCTTTAAAAGATGATATAATTAAAACATACAATTGTTAGCTGTGTTTCCAACAATAGTGATACATTGTATTTAAAAATACACTAGAATTGTAATTAGTGTATATAGACATAATCCTCAAAATGTTGACCAAATATGAGAAATATTACTGTATGCAATTAATTTTAAAAAAGTCTAATTTTACCATGATGTGTTTTTAAGTGAAAATAAATTATATGCAAACTATTTTACTTGAAATCTTTTGTGCTACTTAGATGTCCACCTCTGCTCTTTCACATAACTTGTAATATTTTTCTCTTACAATGCCTCATGATCTGTGAATGAGCATAGAAGAGCCTATCATTCAAAAGCTCCACCACCCATTCACAGAACACAATCCTCCCATAGTGGGAGTATAGTGATAGTGGCACTGGCAACAGACAGCAGAAGTCAGTGTGGGAGCTGAGACAGCGGGTGGAAGAATGCCCATTGCGTTGGTAGAAGCTGGAAGGCAGAGATCCATAGCACAGAGTGAGATTTGTATGCAGCAGAAAAGGGGCTTGGGGTTATGAATGTCCCTTAGGGCCCATCAGGCCTGGATCTAGGAGGGTGCTAGAGAGGGTTGTGACTCTGCCAAATGTTATTTGTGCCACCCTGGTGGGGACATTTATTATAAGGGAGACTCTGATGGGGACATTTATTAATAGGGGGGACTCTGATGGGGACATTTGATGTAAGGGGGACTCTGATGGGGACATTTATTATAAGGGGGACTCTGATGGGGACATTTGATGTAAGGGGGAATTCTTATGGGGACATTTGATGTAAGGGGGAATTCTGATGGAGACATTTGATGTAAGGGGGAATTCTGATGGGGACATTTGATGTAAAGGGGCACTCTGATGAGGACAGTTGATGAAAGGGGGCACTCTGATGGGGACATTTGATTTAAGGGGGCACTCTAATGGGGCAGTTGATATAAGAGGGCACTCTGATGGGGGCAGTTGATGTAAGGGGGCACTCTGATTGGGGCAGTTGATGCAAGGGGGAATTCTGATGGGGACATTTGATGTAAGGGGGCACTCTGATGGGGGCAGTTGATATAAGGGGGCACTCTGATGGCAGCAATTGATGTAAGGGGCACTCTGATGAGGATAGTTGATGTAAGGGGGCACTCTGATGGGGGCAGTTGATGTAAGGGGGCACTCTGATGGGGCAGTTGATATAAGGGGGCACTCTGATGGGGGCAGTTGATGTAAGGGGGCACTATGATGGGGACATTTGATGTAAGGGGGCACTCTGAAGGGGCAGTTGATGTAAGGGGGCACTCTGATGGGGGCAGTTGATATAAGGGGGGCACTCTGATGGGGGCAGTTGATATAAAGGGGGCACTCTGATGGAGGCAGTTGATGTAAAGGGGTACTCTGATGGGGGCAGTTGATGCAAGGGGCACTATGATGGGGAGATTTGATGTAAGGGGGCACTCTGATGGGAAGATTTGATGTAAGGGGGCACTCTGATGGGGGCAGTTGATATAGCCTTATTCATACTAGTATTCCCTGTCCATTCTTGCACTGCCTCTGCACTACCTGTCAGATGTTACTTCTGGGTCATGACTCATGGTACAGCTCCCTTCATCTCTGTCACACTGTGTGGGAGACTGCCAGTGACTCAGTGACTATTCCCCCTGACTTTTTTTTTTTTACTGCATCCCTAGGTCAGAAAGGTTAGATCTGGCCCTGTGGCCCACATTCCTTCTGTACTGAAATGTATTGTAATTGTACTGTCTCCCTTATATTGTAAAGCTCTGCACAAACTGTTGGCGCTATATAAATCCTGTATAATAATAATAATTCATACTTTTGCTTTAAGGCAGCACAATTAAACTAATAACAATGCATCAATAACACATAAAAAGATACATGTACCCTTTCTGGCAGCATACTTCACCACAATGCATGTTAGTGTGTCGCATTGAGTTGCACTGAAACACATGTCTGTTGGCCAGGTGTGATGGGGTGCCATTCCGAATGAATGTGTCATGGCAATGCAATGATACAATAGTGTAAATAGGCCCTGATGCTTTGGGTTAAATATTAAGGTTTGAGGCTTCACTCTAACTGAAATTGTCTTTTACCCTCTTAGCATTACCCCCCCATCCCCAGAAAACATGCAAAAAGTGTGGCATTTATTTTTAATACACATAATAAAATGCGCTTTCTAGGCCCAGAAATAACTTTGCACCACAAATTATATATTTTCTGAAAGCAATGTCCTGTACAATGCTAGTTGTACATTTGTATGTTGCACAATATTTTATATGTAATTGTAATTTTCTGGAAAAACAAAAAAGACGAAACAGGTAAAACAGGTGAAACAGGTAAAATAGATACCAAATATATCAACCCAAAAACTGCATACAAAATGGTAAAGCAGTAAAAATTTACGATACTGAATATTGTCTGTAAGAGACACTTTATCAACTTTTACAGCTCATCAGTTTAGAGGTAACCATAAATAGTGGCCCCCGAGTTATCCCTCTCACTCCAGTGTGTGTGGCAATACTTAGTCTGTGTTATGCAGTTGTCATTTGCATACACATGCATCCTGGGGGTGCACATGTTTACGTGAGTGCGGGACAGGGATTTAGTTCCTTAAATGTTTTTGGTTTTCCTTAAATGTCTTTGTTTTCATTTTTTGCTATCACAGTTGGGCTGAACAGCCCCCCTATGTGATAGTATTGTGTTGCTTATAAACAGAGTGTCAACAATATTCCTAGCAGCTGACAGTCTGAATCTGACAGCTTCGAATGTGGAGGTGCTCAGAGCAGCCTCTACACCTTAACCGCTTCCCAACTGCCCTATGGCAGATATACTGCTACAGGGCGGCACGGGTGCGCAAAATCACGTATATATTCGTGATTTTGCATTTCTGGGTAGGGGGCCCGTGCCACCATTCGCGGCCGTGGCTGTTAATCACCGGGTCGCAGCCAGTGATTACTCGCTGGCACCTGGTGATTGCCGGTGATCTCCGATAGGGAGGAAAGCTGTTTGTAAACAAAACAGTTATCCTCCCTGTCAGCTCAAGCACACTACTTTGGATGGCTGTGCACAGTGTGATTACAGTGAAGCACACACACAGAGCTTATTGTGAAAGCACACAGGTAACCAGTTAACCCTTTGATCGGTCCTCATGTTAACCCCTTCCTGCCCAGTGCTATTAGTACATTGTG